ACTGTTGAAAATGTAATAAATACTGATATAAATTATTTTCGTAGGTAATTCTGAATTCCAATATTTGTCATAAAACGAGCGAAAGTTGTGACTCGGATTTCCTCAGTCACGCCACTTTCTACCAGTTCTACATAGTTCTAGTGTTCTGTCGTTACTTGTAAAAGAAAACATTTATGTCTTAAAGTTTTAAAAAAATCTTCAAGACGCATTTCAATGTATTGAAGCAATTGTCAAAGATAATACGTACTCAAAACCTTTCAAAACAAGCGGTTGACAGAACCTCGATTTCCACGTGGCCCTCCGTATGACATTTGATCAAGATCACTGATTCGTCTATTTCATTCCATCTTTCATTGAAATTTATACTTTTTCTAATATATAACATTGACACGTCACTTTTTAAACTGACTATTAAACACGTGAAACCCTCCGATTCTGACATTTTAGCGCTATGCTGTGCAGTGACTCTTCACGCTTCGAATACTGTGATTGGATGAATCTATTTACCTCAGCCAATGACAAATCGCATTTTGAAAGGCTTGTAAAAAGGTTATTTTCTTTTATTTTTTCAGTGACTATAAATACACTATCGGCGGGAGAAATAAAAATAAAACTTGAATTGGGGACTTTTATTTTTATTTCATTTTAGCCCAAATTAGGGTCGGCGCTCCCGTAAAACAGAATATAAAAAAATGTTATTTATATCCAATACATTATAATATAAGACATTATGCATATGGTAGAATCTATTAAAATATCTTCATTCATTTAAATCAATAAATGAAATACAGATGAGATAAGTTGTTTAATCTTATAATCAATTTCCATTAATTTAAAAAAATAGTCTAAGGGATGTTCATGTTTAATTCTTAGGAGAAAATCAACCCTACTTTACCCTAGACTAGAAAAAAGACTGGAGGTCAGAATGCAGGATGATTGAGCAAGGAGTGCTGGCAGATGGACTATTGAGGTACATGTATAAGAAATATGGACACAACTTTATCTAACTATCATGTAATGCAGCATCTGTGTTGCTATGTAAAATATATTACTTTTTTTAAATTATAGGTCAACAAAAAATTTGGACTTTCATCAGGTGGACACATGTTCAGCAAGAAATTCTCACATCAAATGAATGATGGCTGTCTGTGGAAAAGAGATTTTCTCAGAATATATCACAGATCAGAAGCAGGAATTACATATTTATCTGATCAAAGAAATATTTTTGTAGAAATGTGGAAGTCAATGCATGTTATCATAGTTACTGCTGCTTGTTGCATGATTCCATTCTTGATTTTTTTCAGAAACTTTCAGTCAAAAATAGTTTTATTTATAATTATATAATGTTTAATTATTTGATTCCCAAGTACCCGATACAGTGCACACTTTGTAGAATGTGATTACTTTACAAAATCTTTGATTCAGATTTGAAATCTTACTCCCAGAGTGAATTTTTCAAGCATTATCTTTCATTAGATTACACAGTGAAGATTTACATGTACTGGCATTACAACAACTTGTAAATGATATATACCTAGCTCTATGTATTCAGTTGCTTTACATTTTCAAATACAGTTAAAATCTTAAAATACAGTTCTGGAATACATAAAAATGTGCCTGCTTTAGATCATTTAGTTAAAGGGTGATTTTAAGCAAGAGCATGCTGAACAAAATTGCTGGTAGTGGCCGGGTTAAAATTTAGATTTTTACAAATGAACTACATACATGTACTTGCAGTAGAAACCCTCAAGAGGTAATTTTTAATTCATTTCAATATAAGTTATTGACACTGATCAATAAATGTTTGTGCTAAAAATTCTTAAAAAGAAATTTCATCCTTGAATAAGTATTTTGCATCTAAATGTGAAATTAAGTTTGATAGCTGCATGCATATTATTGTTACAAAGTTCAAGGATGTCATTTTCAGGCAAAGATGTCAAAGGGCATTTGATTGCCATAGATGGCTTTTTCGTTATCTTAAAACTCCAGCAAATTTTATGCAATATGTGATCACAATGAGGAGTTATATTTATTGGTGCTGAACAAACTATATACTTATAAATGTGTGTAGGTATTTATTGTCCCTCGCTTTCGCGAAAGAGAGGGGACATTAAATCTCATTCATCTGTTGGGCTGTCTGTCACAAAAACTTTAACCTTGGCCATAACTTTTGAGTGAGAAGAGATTGGGCTTTTGTATTTCACATGTACATTACCTGTAACAAGACCTTTCCAAATATACTGTGAATTTTGACCCCGTGGCCTTGGCCTTGAAGTTTGGCCTACTTTTCAAAAAAATTAACATTACCTTAAATTGGTCATAACTTTTGAATGAGAAAAGATAGGACTTTCATATTATGCCTGTTTATTACCTGTGACAAGACCTTTCGAAATTATACTATGACTTTTGACCCCGTGACCTTGACCTTGAAGTTTGACCTACTTTTCAGAAAATTGACATTTCTTTAAATTGGTCATTAAATTTAAATGAGAAAAGATAGGGCTTTCATATTAAATATGAACATTACCTGTAAGAATACCTTTCCAAATGTACTATGATTTTTGACCCAATGACCATTACCTTGAAGTTTGACCTACTTTTCAAAATTGTTATCTTTGCTTATAACTTTTGATTTAGAATAGTTAGGGCTTTCATATTTAATATGTGCATTAGTAGTGACAAAGTGTTTCCAAGCATGCTATAATTTTTGACCCCTTTACCTTGACCTTCATGTTTGACCTAAATTTCAAAAATTTTATATTTGGTGATTACTTTTGAATGACATATGATAGGGTGTTCATATTTGACAAGTGCATTACCTGCGTCAAAATGTTTCTGAATATGCTATGATATTTGACCCCGTGACCTTGACCTTCCAGTTTGACCTAATTTTCAAACATTTCATCAGTTTGCTAACTTTTGAAGGAGCAAAGATAGGGCATTCATATTTGACAAGTGCATTACCTGTGACAAGCATTTCCAAATGTACTATGATTTTTAATCCCATGACCTTGACCTTGAAGTTTGACCTAATTTTTAGAAAGTTTATCATGGCTAATAACATTTGATTGAGAGAAGAGATGGTATTTACATTTGACATGTGCATTACCTGTTTCAAGACCTTTCTGATTGTGTACTCTGGTTTCTGATATATTTTTTTTACATGTGCATCAATTGTGAGAAGATCTTTTGGATTTTATTATGATATTTGACCTCATGACCTTGATCTTGAAGTTTGATGTAGTTTTGAGAAGCTATAGTCTTTGCCATAACTGTTATTAATTCAATAATATATGTTTTTTGTATGATGCACTGATAAGACAGGACAAACAAATAAGACAGTTAAAATATGCCATAAATAATGGCATTGGCATCCCATCCACTAAGACATCGAAAGCGGGGGACCACAATTCTTTGAATTTGCTTGTTGTTTTCAAAACTCAGTTTACAAATGTAAAATATCCAATAATAACATAATACCAGGGACCCATATGTATATAACTACATATACATGTACATGTATAGGCATATATATTAGTCCCTCTGATATTCATATATTAAGCTTTGAATGGCATGTTCACTATACATGTATATTGATTTCATGTTTATGTCATAAATAATATATTGAAATCTTTTCTAGTCTATGAAAATTTTATGTATGATTTTTCTCATAACTTTTTGGAAGGTTTATTATTTATTCCTGGTTATATTAAAGGTTTAGTTGCTTTGAATTAGTCCTGTGCATCTGAAGAATGTATGTGATAATTTTTCTATAATTGCCACTAGAAAATTGATGTATTTTATAAAATTGTCAAACATAACATTCATAAGAATAAAATGACAGAGGAAATTCGAAATGAATATTTTGAATATCATTAGTGTAAAATACCATAAAAATAGAATGTAAAACTGGGAGAAATGAATGTATTTATGTCACAATTACACCTAATTGATATGTTTTTGGGGATTAAAAATCTTTTTTTATAGACATTTAAAACACTCTGTAAAATGAAGATTTCAGAAAGTATAGAGCAAATTCGGGCTAATTTTTTTTCTCGATAATTTGCCTGATTACTATATCTTTTTTACCTTGTAAATTAATCTTGAACCTTTGAATATTCATCAGACAAAAATCTAAATATTTGACATTATATGGTCAATTGTAAAAATTGAGATGAAATTTCATGTGAATTCATGAAAACTGAGAATTTTGAAAAAATATCGAGGAAATTCGGATTAAATATATTTATTGAATATAAAGGATTTCATGTTATCTTTTCACCAGCTCATTTCATATGAATTAGTCATCAAAAATAAGTAACAACTTTAATTTTATTTTGAAAGATATTTTTTCAGTCAGCAAAATTTATTCATATGCATAAATTTCAAAACTTCTCTGTGTAAAAGTACTATTTTTAGGACTGACTTTCAAATGACCTTGACTGAAAATCAAGGCTGATGACACCAAAGTTTTTGGATGTTAAAAGAGTGTAAACAGTCTGAATATTGAGTATTCAGAAAATCAAGATTCTGCCATTATAAGAAATATGAGAAGAATCCATCCTTAAAGAACAGTAGGTATATGGCGCCAGACTGTGTATGAAGTGTAAAGGGAGATTATTTTTGATCTGAGAAACTCACGTTATGTTTTTGACGTTACAATGCTGTTTAGCATGCTCCGTGGTAACAAAACATGTTTTTATTTTAGAATTAAGTAACATAAGTTCCATATAGTAACCTGAAATGAATTAAATATTTGTACATGTGATAATATATACTGATCTTGAAAATGATATAACAATGACTGACATTATCCGCGCACTTTTTTGCTTGATAAAATTCAGTTTGGGGGGAAATGCAAATTAGAACATCGGACTTATTTCTCTGTATGAAAGGTGAAGTTCAAGACCGACTTAGAAGTATAAAAGGAATTATGCCATACACCTGTTAATATTCTTATCTACCTGTTGGTCCTTTTCTTTTACTGGACATTGGATAATTATGTCGCCAAAGAATATTTTAATTCTCTGTTGTATAGGTATGCCTTTTTACGTTCTTCATAAATAGTCGCATGTCATTTTCCTTTGGTAGATTGGTTATTAATTCGTTTCATAAAGCTAAATAATAAGACAAAATTCACAATCAAATGAAGAAAGAAATATCCAAGTAAAGGAGAAACATTTCCAGCCTTGGCACATGCAAGGTATGGTACATTAAGATATGATTAATTTTTTGATAATTCTTGAGAACATGAACGACGATTCGCGCCGGCATATGATATTGTCTGACGATAAATATATCGGCGTGCAGTTTAATTACCCAAATGAATTTTTAAAAATTGAATTCATATCTTAATATAATATTACAATTCTGATAATTGACCTCAATTTAAGCCATTCAACAGTTACCATAACTTTATGCTCAGAGATCGAAGATCGGGAGAGAGGTATTTTTATGTCTTGTCTAACATATGTCATTCTGTTCCCAAACTATAAGCTTTCTAATAACTTTTGAACTTCTAATTTTTTTTCCCCAAGTTTAATCATTATTTTATCTCGTCTGGACTCTGAATGGTCTTTCTTGTTCATGTGGTATCATTATCTTAAAGAGGGGCATTTCGACATGACTTTGATTATATATTTATACGACATTTATAAGAATCACCGCTACCTTTACACTGATGAAGACTGCTCTAACAAAAACATATTATAGTTGACTATAGAACCAAAGGTTTTACGATAGTAAATCAAAGAATTTTTACCATGGATTTCAGATTGTTTTATGACCTCCAATTCAAACATGCATATTTTTTTTATATTAAATGGAACTATTACTTGTACATTCATACATTATGTCTAAATTTTACATCACCGTCATCGATTCAAAGATATTTTAAGCTTTGAAATCTCAAAAAAAGGTTCTTGAGTAAAGTTTCATAGTAAATCAAAATATTTACTAACGTTTACTATAGTAAACTGTAGTTAACCATTGTAAATATTTCTTAGGACGAACAGCAACAAAGACCATGCATTCATAGTGGTGAAAAAAGAGGATGATTTAAATCAGTCTATAATAATTTCAAATATAAAGACCTTTACCTTTAATGTTATTAAAAGATATCACTGCGTCAGTGCAGTTTACGGTTCAGATGTACGATCATAGTTTTTATCAGTTTGTTAAAAAAACCAGTTGAATATTCTAAGGACACATAGAGTTTCGTTGACATTGAGAAATACTTTTGATATTCCTGCAATATCATTACAATTAGCTTAAGGTATGTGCAATCGTATAATATATGCTAAGTAAAAGGGAATCTACAGTTGGCCTCTCCACTTTGGCACATACTTGTAGCTATTTTGTTAATCATTTTTATGAAATCCCTTCAATTTAAAGTCTTTTGACTGTTGATCGTAACAAATAGCCAACTACAGTAGTGCTATAATTATGTATGTTACTCCTCAGCTTTTGAGAAAAAAGTTTAATAGTCACAATCGATATCAAATTAAAATACATACAAATTCATTTTTATAACATATATGAATTAAACAATCCAAATTGTAGATCATTCAATAACAAACTCACAAAATCGACCAAAAATATGATTTATAAAGAACTATTTCCAAGTACGATATTTAGAATAAAATTCTCAAAATTTCACACGTTTCATTCATTGTACTCAGCCCAGACAACTTGAAGTCACCGTCTGAATTTATTGTTCACTGATTCCGATCTACATGTAAATATTCATTAAAAACTTGAACTTTCTCTTGGCGGATACCTGATTATACTGACATCACGCCGAATGATCAGACAGTAACTTGTACTACAATTTTTGGATAGATCACTAGCAATGGCAAGGTCTAAAATTTTGTGGGCAGCATTTGATTAGGATTACATCATATTGTTGATATTGTAAGTCCAAACTATCGGTAGAATTATTTCTTACATCAGAGTTATCTCGCTTGCAAATTTGTTTTACTTTTTTGACTCTCATCTGAAGAAAGACGACAGTTGTAACCTTGCTCTTTAGGGAGGCATCACGAATTGTCCCCACGCATGCGAGAAAAACAACTTTTATTCACTAGCCTACATTGGATCATGACAAAAAGTCTCGGAAAAAAATTGTAACTGCTATGTGAACATGTGTAAAAATTTCAAAAGAGCGTGCGTTAACATTTGCGCATTTCAGTTTCTTCTCTTGAACCCCACCGTTCACGGTAGCTCAGTCGGTAGAGCGCTCGCTTCGTGATCGGGAGGTCGTGAGTTCGAATCTCGGCCCCAACTGACCTAAGTCGATTAAAATGGGTAGCAACTGATCCTTTGCCATGCGCTCGTCACTTTGAAGTGAAAGTTGCGGGTTCTTCGGATGAGACCTTAAAAACCGAGGTCCAGTGTCACGACAGGCGTTGACACGATAAAGATCCCTCACTGCTCAATGGCGCCGAGTAAAGGTCAAAATTTGAAGCCCTTCACCGGTATATGGTGACGTCTCTATATGAGTGAAAATTTCTCAAGTGGGACGTAAAACAACAAACAATCAATCAATCAATCAATCTCTGAACGAATATTATCAAGTTTTGGTATATACATGAAGCATCCTTTACCAAAGGGGGATAAAAATTGTGAATGCCCCTGGGGCCTAAAGGGTGGGGCTAAAACCATCAAAATTAATGCAATATTTAAAAATCTGGACATCAAGCAGTCGAATGGTTGGCATGATTGTAATAAGAATTGAGCCCTTACAGTATGTTACCGGTCCTGTGCTCAAAACTACAAACAGTTGATCAATCAGTAGAAACAGTCGGTACTTTTGCCTGGCTATAATGAACAGTCAGTCATTTACAAAAGTGAAATTGATGAACCGTGGGCCACAAGATCAGCCCACTGGATAGGGCAAATGGCCACATACACTTGGATATGTAGAAATTAATTTTAAAGTGGACTTTCTCTTATCTTGTCATGAAATCAGCAAAAACAGTGAGATTTAACACGAGTATATTTATATCCACTGAATAGTATTTCCTTTATTTTTCATAAAAACCATTGCCGTTAATCAGTCCTAAAACAACACTATGCAAGCCACCAGCTTTGATTTCTTAAGCAGCGGCTGTTCCATCGATTATGCATACATTGACATATACATCTATGATACAATATTTAACATATTAAATTTACTTTGAATGTTTTTTTTAATTAAGATTTAAATATAAACAATAAAACGTCTTTCTTTGTTTGTTAGGACTGGAATTAACGTCGCAGCTATTGCAGAAAAAATTCACATAACCCGCTTACGCGGGATATGTATTTTGTTTGCAACAGCTGCGACATTAATTCCCGTACTAACAACTAAAGAAAGCATTTTATTGTTTAAATATTGACTTAATGCATTGTCTTTTTTAGGAGTAGCAATGAATATGGCTTGGGGATACGGTATACAAGGTTTGTATATTTGCAACACTACATAAGAAAATGCGACAAAACAATATTCACTCTACACAAAACATCTTTTATATGGTGGTTAGTTCATCGTTATTTTAATTACTGTAGATCTGCTGAAGATGATACCCTTCGAACGAACTGCAGAGTGCCAACGTATATAAAATTAATACAAGACCTCTGACCTAATCAGGTAAACATTCATTAAAATTTTAAGTTAATTTCAATCATGATTAACATTTTTTCCTTGTAGATACGAAGGCACTATTAACACTGTGGAATGTAAGCCACAAAAGGATGGGTGTGTATTCTCCGTCATTTTACGTACATTTAACCAGACAATACGTTTAGAATTTTAATTGTGACTGTTAAAGCATACATTTATGTACCAATGTATGATAATCTCGAGATTGTGTGTTTTTAACAATATTTCAGCTTTGCAAACACTTTATGAGTATATAGTTGCACACATCAATACCCCTAGAAGGCTATGCTGCATGAAAGGTGGGTATAAAATTTTATAATAATTTATAATTAATTATGGAAGTGTAAAGACATCACGTTTTCTTACACTTACGAGAGGTTTAATTGTCTCCAAATATCGGTACTGCATCATGCAGTATTTCAGTCTTATTTCAGGGGAATAATCAAAGGTTTGAGAATTATATCATCCGTATTTTAATGATTAGGAATTTTGTTGCTCTATCTTTGGTCCAGACTTTCTCTCCTGAAGTGAACTTCAGAGTGATTTCACCTCAAAATGAAGTTCCGGGAGGGTTATTTTTGCCTTTTGAGCAAGCATAGATGTGACTACTTTTCATCGACCAATCAAATCGCGTATTTAAAGCAAGAGGCATTGTAAACGTGTAAATGGCAAACGCCAGTATCAAGGGATTGAACACCTTAATTATTAAATGGTTCATTATTTAATTTTTTGGTAAACATAGGAAGTGACTTCCTTCGCCAAGCGCCCGGCATTAGTAGTGAAAGTCATGGGTCTTTCGGACGAGACCCAAAAAAGACGAGGTCCCGTGTCACGGTAGGTGTTGGCACGATAAAGAACCGCTCAGTGGCCCTGAGTGCCGAGTACACGTCTAAATTTAAATCCTTCACTGGTACATGGTGAGGTTTTTATATGAGTAAAAATTCTCGAATGGGACCTAAAACAACAAATAATCAATCAATCAGGTATTGGTTGACCTCGGCCTTCGGCTACGGTCAACCAATCAATACCTGACCATGCTAGACGTAATTTTAAATATTGACTTCGGCACTAGCTCTGACTCGAAAAAAGAGATTTAGAAAATTGCTGTAAATAATTCATGGTTATAAAACTTGGCTCAAAATCTAGCGCGAAAATTTAAGCTGGAGCACGTATTCGAATTGTAAGTTATAAAACTTTCGAATACAGAACACATATTCCAAATTGTGTTTGTATTGCTGAATTCTCTAGTAAGCTTAAGGTTTTCCACCCCAAATAGGACATAATTCTCTATCCTTAAATACCCATCACGTATATAATACTCTGATATTAATTAAAAGCATTTTACAGTAGAAAAGGATTTACCAAGAGAACATTTCAAAAATGTAATTAACTAAGCAGTAACTAACAAAAATTGCAAGTCTATGGAGACTATCGATTTTTTAAAAATAAAAATTCAAATAATAAGTATATCAATAAATATTGTTGTTGAAAGGTGCATTAAATCATTAGAAAAAGAACTGAAAACATTTTTTTTACCGTGTAGATTTTTTAAAATTAATTTTTATTACTTAAAAAAAGAGGGAGATAACTCTTCAACAACGGTCAAGGTCATAAATTAGGACACGTTCCATTCTTACATGCTAATAGTAATAAATGGGAATTATGTCTAAATATACTGAGTATTCCACCCATACACATCTGTTATGTATTCAAATTCATTGAATCTGATCCTATTAGGGATGGAATACCTTAAAAAGTGAACTTGCTCTGCGCAATTTCAGGGATAGATCAAACCTTCTGGAGGAATTATTAGCAGATGTCTTTACAAGGTAACGATTAAGAATCTCTCGTGTCAGCTGCCAGATTTGTCTCATCCAACGCGGAGGAACATTCCAGTTCACCCCTCCTACAATAATTATTACTTAATCTTAGATTTCTAGGCATTGTTGCTACACACGTCCTTGTTTGGTGATGTCTTAAAAATCTCGAGATCAACAGCAAAGCGATGATAAAGGCGCGTGGCCTCACTCATTGCGGCATTGGCACCAAATATATATTGTTTCTAAGGGGAGACCAGACGCATCAAATAATATTGGAATTTTCCACGCGTTTCAGGTTTTTAAACATATATATACCTTGACTATATGGTAGAACAAATAACTTTAAGTTATGACACGTCAAAAGGAAGACAACTCTGGTTCATATTATACATTTATTGACTGGGTTCGAGGGCAACATGTGTTTTGTCGGACCCAAGAACCGAACTGGTTGTTAAATCGAAGGCAAGCGTTTTGGTTCGAGGAGTTGGCTTCGCCTCGCCAGGTATAAAATTTAACTATCCAGGTATCATCCCGTCAATACAAAACTATGTTTATAATAATATAGGTTTACAATGCATATAATTCAGTTTCTTATTTGGTGCATACAGTGTTATTCCTTTCAAACAGTCATTCTGCCAGTTTCCGGGACTTTTGTTGTTGTTGTGCTATTATAATCAATGAGTTGATTTTTTGGCCTCTCCCTTTATAATGATGATATATAGCTCAACTCTTATGCACTGATTATCCCGTTTTTACACAAATTATTGTCCCAGGACAAATTATTTACTGTTTTATGAACATTTTATATGAGTTCGTAAATTGACGAATGATTTAAGAAAAAAAGAAACAATATGTTATTGTATTTTTTCCTTTCTGTACCAGGCGCGGATACAGGATTTTTTCTCCGGGGGAGGGGGGGGGGGATTTTCGATCCAGTCGAAAAAAAATTCCTACAAAAAAAAAACAACGTAGAATCCATTTCTTATACGCGTAAAAAACCTATTTCGTGGTGGTGATGGTGGGGTCAACGTTTTCAAGGGATGGGGGGGGGGGGTCAAAGTAAATATTAGCTTACTTGAGCGGAAGGCTCAAGTGAGCTTTTCTAATCAAAATTTGTCCGTTGTCTTGTCACAATTTGTGATAATGGCATGGAAATATTCCCTCGCTGTAACCAAATCTTTGAAAAAGAACAAAGAGTAAGTGCAAACAAGTTTATTATAGTGCTCCAAAAAAAAAATGCAAAGAATATCTGCACACCTCCACACACACACAACACGCACATCTACAACACTCGCACAAATAAAAAACAAAACAAAATAATAATAAACAAAAAAAAAAAAAATAATGATAGTATCAATATACCGACTATAATATCGTCATATCAGACCCGACAAATGTTTCATTGCCATGTGTTAATAAAATCGGAAACACTGACTGTCGAGACCACAGAGATTGACCCAAGACGTTACCGTATACTGTTCATTGACACACAGTCGTTGGTTTCTTGTGGAATTACGGTTACGACACTGTCCAAAGGCCTCACGTCCCTGTAGCCTTCAACGCCTTAGTACGTAGAATTTCCTCGAATGTCTCAGTATGCCATAATGTTCACCTGCTACTGTAAACACGCACATACACAGCTGGTCATCTATAATAACACATTATTTAAAGGTCTGGGTTTCCATAGTCGGTAATAAACGCATTCATAAGGAATACTTGAATATGTCGGGTACATTATCTAGTACAAATAAAACTGAACTTAACAAAGTAATGAAATAATAACTTTTTCTTTAAAAAAAAAAAATAACAAAAAAAACCTAGCTAACAAAATATACAATTCAAACTCACCGCTGCCAAAGTTCTCAAAATTACTCTACTGTCCACACAGGAAAACTTCTCGAACACACACAAAACATTCAGGCCCAAAGCACGTAGCTATTTCTCTCGCGACCACACAGGTCATACAACATTTGTACTTAGGAAGGACACACCTTCTCACTTCTACGGCCTGCTCAGAACTAACTTACACGTAGACAAAATTGTTAAAACCGGTCTGGCAGCCGTGACCAGCTATCCGTAACGAGTATACGATGAGAATGAACCTATGGTACACCATAACCAACATAGTCAAATTAAACAAAATTGTGACAATACCTCCCCTTTTAAGTTTCAAAATTGGAAATCATATTTTGAGAGTAAACATGAAACAACTATATTTACAAAACATGACGACTCAAAAAATCAGCGCCCACGTTATCAACACCTTTGATAGCATGAACTACAAAATTATAGGACTGCAGAAAGATGGCCCAACGCATTAACCTACCATTTGAAACTTTTGATCTGTTCAGATACACCAATGGCTGATGATCTGTCTGCAAAAGGAAAGTCCTACCGTACAAGTATGCCTGAAATTTTCTTACAGCCCATACAATAGCTAAGCACTCTTTCTCAATCACAGAATAACTTCTCTCTCTTTCATTCAACTTTCTACTGGCATATGCCACTGGAAACATTTTCTCATGCATTTGCAATAAAACAGCACCTATTCCGTAGTCGGAAGCATCTGTTCTGAGAAAGAAATCTCTTTTAAAGTCTGGGAGTCTCAGAATTGGGGCATGTAACAGTAATGACTTTAAATTCATAAAAGATCTCTCATGTTCATCGCACCATTCAATTTTATTTGGGGTGCCTTTTTTAGTCAAATCCGTCAAAGGACAAGCAACAACAGCAAAATTGGGAACAAACTTACGGTAATAACCAATCAGTCCCAAGAAAGAACGTACCTGTTTCTTGGTTTCAGGACGAAGGGCATTCTTAATTGCTTCAAGTTTGTCATTATTAGGTCGCATTACACCATTTCCAACTGAGTGACCTAAAAAATCAAGTGAGCTAAAACCTATAAAACATTTAGAAGGTTTTGCATTCAGTTTCCCCGACTGTAGTCTTTCTAATAGACACCTAATAGACACCAAATGTTCTTCCCAAGTTTCAGAATGAATTAAGATGTCGTCAATGAAACTATCGGTATCTTTTAAATCTTTCAACAGAACACGCATCATACGATTGAATGTCGCCGCCGCGTTTGATAAACCGAATGGCATTACTTTGAACCTAAACAAACCATCAGGAGTGACGAATGATGTCAGGTCTTTGTCATCGTCCCTCATAGGAATTTGCCAGTATCCTTTGCAAAGGTCTACTTTAGTAAAATACTTACTTTGTCCAATTCTAGCAAAAATTTCCTCGGGATCAGGCATTGGTTCGGCATCAAACACTGTCACCTTGTTTAGCTTTCTAAAGTCGATGCATATTCTCTTAGAACCATCAGCTTTCTTGGCAACAACAATAGAGCTGGCGTACGGAGATTCGGACGGCTCTATAATGTCCATCTCAATCATTTTCTTGATTTCGTCCCTAACGGAATCACGCAATGCAAATGGAATTTGATACGGCTTGTTGCGAATAGGATCCGTAGT